GGTAGTGGGAGAACGTTGACTGTCTTCTAATCATTGAGTTTTTTGGGTGTCAAGCGACGATGTAGACGCGATTTTGTTGCCAAATATTAAGGTTAGTAAAGAGTACGCGTTATTTTCTAGTATTCACGTATTTTTCATTGAGCTGTGTATATTTTTTACTGGTTCTACTGTTGTTNTACCCCTGCATTTAACAGACTAGACGCACGCGTTACCTCGGAATAGCGCTGGCCACACACTTTTCCTCTTCTTCGCGAGTTTTAGGAGGTCTAAATCTGTACTCTGCCATTTGCTTTGCGAAGGAACTTGCTCGCTCAGAACTGACAAACAACTAGGTAACGACGTGACATTGATGAATATTCAAAAATTGTCACGGAGCAACAATTAGGTGATAGAATCACATTTTCACGTCTCAAATATAACATTTGAATTGAGAAAACTTACTCAAATGATAATTTAAACTAATTTTCTTTGTTGGAGAAGTAATTTCAAAAAATCGTGCTTCGGGTTTCATCAGGTTGCCAAACGCTCGAAAACAATAAAACCACGAGGCCGCAGGCCTCGTGGTTTCAAATGTTTCTTGCGTTTGGAAACCTGATGAAACCCTCGTACTCGTTTTTGAAATAGTACGTCTGAATTACAAAGCCAAATGAAATGGCAACTTATTTATCTTGTTGCAGGTCTTTTTATTTCTGATATAGAAGTAGAAGAAAGTAAAGTCTTACAAAGCCAAGTGAAAGAAAACTGATGATTTTCATTTGCTGTTTGTTTTACCACCACGTAAGCTGCGGGTCAGGGGTCACGGGCCACGGGTCGCTTCAGCCGCTGGGAACAGAAACTGACTGGATATGCCTAGACAAGACATTATACTGTCTTGGTAGTAACAGAGATACTTAGTAATAATAATATTAAAACATGCATTTATTAAACAATTCAGTCTGCTGCACAACCTTAAACAACATTCCACACAACAGATGAATCTACTGGCACCGAAACAGGAAAAGTTACTCGAGCGAGAACGGAATCGAACTAGTGTATGATCAGCAAGCTTAATTGTTTTTAGTTCAGAGCATATTTCTTTTGTACGTGCCCTGATTTAATACCACTTACGCTCGCGCAATTTTCCGTCCTTGATAAATTCATGATCTATTGATGTTGTTGAGCGTCTGTCGCCGTTTTTTGCTGTAAAAAGTCGCACCCACGCTTGCTTGTCAATCAGTCGAAGCTTTCCGTCGTCAGTTCATCGATGAAAGTTTGCAAGGGCACACAAAGAGTTAAAGGAGAGAAACAGCGCTACTCTAAAAGCCTTGTTAATATATGTAGGATCAGCGTTGACTCTCTTGACTTTTGTAAGAAACTGTATTATACGATACCAATAACACTTTGTACTCAGAGAATTCCGTAAAGAAAACGACAATTTATTGCAGAAATTACTTTTTCTTATGTAAATCTGATTAATTGACTTAAAGCAATCTGAAACGATTCAGATTGCTACTGTATTCTCTAGAATAACTGGTGAAAAGTTAGAGAACCATTTATAGTGAAAAGGGTTACAGTAAATCTGCTTCGAAATAACTGTTACCAACAGGAAGCTAGTGAAATCTTTTGATTAAACAGAGACTATTTCTAACACGTCGATTAACAATACAACCACTTTGCCGGTGTTAAAGCAACGATAATTTGAAAACAACGCTTAATTTATTAGACAAGTGGATGCTGTTTATGTGTACTCTATTGAACGAAAACCTTGTTTTCGATTGCAGTTGGTGAATACTTTGTTTTATATGTGTTTAGAGTGTACTCGGATTTCTTGAGAAAGAAGTGGAACTTTAAAGCGAATAAACGTTAAAGTACAGACGGTTTAGCAGAGAATGTTTTTTGAAACGAGATTGCACCGCCTTAATGTTGTCCGATTAATTGAACTGAAAATCTTTATACGGTGTAAAAAAAATCGGCTTTTCAAACGTTATCTTTTGCCAATGAGAAGTACAACAAAAACAGAAGTGAGTAATTGTACATTATATTGCACAGTGTATTAAGTAATTAGACAACACAAGCTCGAGATTCTACGAGGACAGGAGCCCATGGGTCATGGGTTCCTGATGAAATCAATGAGGCGCAGGCGAGTTAACTATTGCTCATAGAAAGTTCTGGCGAGGAGTCTCATTGTTTAAGTAGACACTCTAAAGGATTGAAGTCTAAACCATATATAATAAAGTATTTTTTAAGGTAAACAAATCAAGAATTGACATACGAGAACCAATCATATTCGCGTATGATCAACAGAACACGCTGAGTCATTCTACAAATACAAGATGAAAGCCGTATCTCCAGGCTGCATTCCAGGTCTTTTGAGATGACGGGAAACAAAAGAATGAGAGAAGCCGGTAGACAAATGATCATCAAGAGTTTGTCGCCGTGGGTGACACATTACTAGGCTGGGTTTCAATGACTAGTTTGACTTTGTTGTTGTCATTGCCGTCCATGAAAGGCTTCCATGAAGAATACAGCGCCTCTGAAGCCAGTTCGTCACTAAACAACAAACAAATCTCACTGTTAGAAGTCAGCATAGGAAATTTTTAGCTTCTTGACAATTTCAAGAGCTTTGTAATTTCAGCCTTAGATTTAGTTCATCTTAAATTAGTTACTAAATGCAGGAAAAGCGTTAACATCTTCGTCACTGTTTAAATTTTCTGAAATGTTTCTAATCTGTCTCTTTGAATGCATGTAAAGTAAGAACCTACTGTAGACAAATGACAGCCATTTCCTCCTGAAATCCTTGTTTCATCTTCTTAATTCTACGACAAGAAGAAACCATCATAATATAATCTCCCGTCACAGCCGGAGATGTTATGTTTGCGGGTATGAGCTCTAGGCACAGCTTTTGTGTCGTAAATTGTTGTACGGAGTCACTCTACCAACACGGTTCAGGAGGTCGTGAACAAACGAACCTAATGTCATAGTAACCACTTAGTGGTTAGTAAGTAGTAAGCCCTAAGTATATATTTATTCTCGTTACGAGATTTCGGGTTTAGAAATCACTTGTTTACTTGAGAGTTTTTTGATCTTGCAAAGAGAAATATATTTTGATCGCTCAGGGAAAGTAAGTCTTTGGCAGTTGAAGTCTCTCATCGTCGTTGTCATCATCTTTATTATTACCTTAACCGGGAAGTGTTTTAAATCTCAAACAAAAGTGGCTTACCTTTTCCAGCGAACAAAAAACACAGCTACAACAATTCCGACCATTAACAGACAAAACGGTAACACAATGGTCACGACCAGTACTGTACTACGCTTTTCAACTCTTTGCGCGCTTTTCTCACGAGGACTGGTACTATTCGTGACTGATTCCCTCGATACCGGTGCAGTTACTGCTGTTCTTAATGGTTTGGAAGTTCCCTCTGTAGGAGATACTGTTGTAAAATTGTTTGGTTTTTTTGTTTTTTGAGTAGACTGTGGTAAAGTTGATGTTGTACTTTGTAAGCTTGGTCTGGTGTTTGTAGTTCCATTGTTTACATGTGTTGGGGTTGACGAGGTTGGCAGGGCTTCCTTTTCTAAAAGAAAGAAGAATTATTACTTTTGCTGATTACCGTTGATCAATTTTTTTAACAAATACTTGTACTTTTTTGTAAAGGACTTTTTTGCGTGACGTTTTCGAATTCTAGATTTAATCTATCTTAAACTACCTGACCTTTAAAGTAAAAGCTTGCACATATACACAC